TTAGGTTCTAAACAATCAAATTAGAGTTCACCTAAAAAAATTCACTAGATGATGATGTTTTGATGCTCAAATATCCTCAAATTGATCATCTCAACATCAAGGTGCATGGACATGAGAAAAAAATGGATTTCAAGTTTTGGAAATAGTGAATATTGTAATGCATTTTTTTACTGTAAAATTTAAAGATTTTCAAGTTTTCATATATCTGCTCATTTAAGCTTTACAATTTTTAATTAAATATGAATATGTACTTTAAAGCTATCAGTAAGATTTCCAGCATTTAAACAATATTTCTTGACCCTAATTGAATTACGCATTACTTTGATTATGTAGAACCTTGGCTATGTACAAATCACACCCATAAAATAAATGTTTCTTTGTGTTTACTCTTGCATCATAAGGAGTAGCTCCTTCCCACCAACCTTCCTCCATCTTAAGAGGCTTCCTGAGTGGTATTTCTTCATCTATAGTTATTTCCGACCACTATACTACACAACTAGTAGCTCGACGTTATCATCGTTAGCGTCGTTGCTTCTAGTGAGTCGACCTTGAATCTTCAAGGTTCCATGAGAAACTTCATCGGATAAATTTTAATCCCTTCCTCATCAAGCCTTTTTCCCAACTTTTGTTTTTTTTTTGCATATTTCCCTTTTATTGTTTTCCTGTCTTCTTTGTCTACAACAACCTATAATAAATATGAATATTATTTTTCATTTTATTAATCGTAGTTGAAAAAAGAGCAAATAAGATATTACTTTATCTTATTTAAACCTAATTTAACTAATTTTCCTTTCACTAATCTTTTCATATGTTTTTATTGAGTAATGATCATATAAGATCCTCCCTACCTATGTGTGTAGGACCCTAAAAGGGTTATCATCAAATTTGATATGGATCTTTAGAAAAGTTATTATATGGGTGTGGGATTTGATCTTTTTAGACATCCGTGTCAAATTTAATGATAATTATTTGGGGTTCTATACACATAGGTTGAAAAATGTCCTACAAAATAATTTATCGTTTTTATTTCCATGAAATCCTTTTTCTCTCTCTCTTCATTTTAAGACGAATTTTCCACGTCAATTTTCCATAATTTTCTCATTGACATTATTCGTTACTATATGATTGTGCAATGCATTTGGTCGTTTAAAAAACTATTTACCCCACTATGTTTTACGTTTATATTTGATTCAAGAAATTTCACAGTAACATTTGATTTAACACGTCATCTCCAAGATTCGGCGCACGCGGACCCTTTTTCCTTTGTGGGTTGGTATGTTAAGAGGAGAGAGAAGGGTTTTACGTTACACCACATTTTAGAGAAAGAAGGCATGCATTTTATGAGTTGAGAAAAAGCCTTGGAGAGAGACAAAAAGGATAGTACATGGTGTTTTCAAAATTCGTATTGGTGGGGCGGAATTTCTGGATAGATAGATATTTGTTGGATGGTTTCCACAAGTATCTTTCACATGGAATTAGAGTTGTGTGGGAAACGTGGATGTGTGGGACTATAATTTTATATAATCACCGCATACCAACAAAGTTGAATGGCAAGTTTTATAGGCTAGATGTGAGACCGCTTTGCTCTATAGGGCAGAATTTTGGGTGGTCAAAAAATAATATATCCATAAAGTGAGTATAGTGGAAGTGACGATAATGAGATGAATGAGTGATATATGACAATAAGATAAAACTTAAAATAAATACTTTAAAAAAAATTTAGGCGTGACACTGATAAGCGATAAGATAAGATATAATAAAATTAGGTAGGGTGTTATGCGTGGTTCAGACCCAGTATAGTACCTGTTGAAATGGTAGACTCAAAAGGATATGGTTGAAAGTAATGATAAAATATATGAGGATTTATAGTTTCATTGAGGATCTAACTCTTGATTAGTTTTCACAAAACCGGCTGATCTAATCGTTGACTGCTCGGTTAAATCGGAAGAGGTCATTGGCGATTAAAAATAGGATATGGTTTCTATGTGGCCAAGATTGTATATGTACAAGTGGGCGCCTCTTAATAAATATATATATTTAGATAGATTTTAAACCTTAAATTTGAAGGACATGTAATCTCTAACTAACACAGAGATCATGAATATAAAAAAATTAAATAAATTTAAAAAATTATAAATAAGAATTATAGTAAAAAACATTTGAATCGTTAATTTTTATTGGTTTTAAATGGAGCGCCTACTTGCGTCCATCTTTAAGATGGTACTTTACACTTTTTGGACCGCATTTGTAGAAATACGGCGCAACGCAATTTTCCTTAAAAATAAATTAGTTGGCCCTGCAGCTAACTCGGGCGTATTGTGTGTAGGTGAGGCCGCCCCTTCTGTCTTACTTTCTCTCTCTTGCACTCTCTTGCTTTCTCACGCTTAAACCGTGCGTTGTGAGAGGCCGCAATGCTAGCGCTGACAACGCGGTCGGACTGTTGTAACCGTCCTCCCCTAACCCGGGTTAAGCGCGATGGACACGAGGTCTGGGTGACGCTGACGTGGAGGATTAGCAAGTAACCGTGGTTTGCGGGCCTGCTTGTTAAGGGGAAGACAGCGTTGAACGCCGTTAATTTTTTCGTCAAATCGGGGCCTGGCCATGCCGGCGACGGTTACGGCGCTTCTGCGCCCGAGGAGCCGCCTTTTCAATCAATGCGCCAGAAATTCATCGCCCACCCGCTCCATTTGATTAACGCCTTAAAGGAGAGGAGAGAGAGAGAGAGAGAGGACTAAGTTTTGTTGGAGAGAGAAAGAGGGAGAAAATAAGTAGTCGTTTTGGATGGTATTTTTAAGTTTGGTAGAGGGGTCTAAGCTTGGTGAATAGACTGACGAGAAAACCAGTTGACCGGGTCACGAGGAGAGAGAACGTAAAGTAACGTGTCGTTTAGATAGAGGATAAAGGAGTCTCCAAAACTCCAATTTGAAAGTGATTTGAACTTTGAAAACTGATTCACAAAAAAAAAAAATTATTCCCTTGATATCCGGATACCTGGAAAATAAATTATATTATTATGCATAGAGCTCAGGCTCTAAACACCTTAGAATAATGTCGAGAAATGTGGTTTGAATATTAATTTTTTTATGAAAATTTTAAAATATAATTTTATTTTTAATTATAAAATTTTAAAAACTTTCAAATAGTATTGAAAAATATGATTTTAATATTAAAAATCTTTGTAGTACCTTAAAATATATTTTTATATCTAATTATAAATTTTTATGCTTAAAAAATAACGTAGATTCAACAGATAAATGAAAACTTGAAAATTGATGGTAAAAAAATGTATTACAAGATGCACTATTTTCAAAATTTGAAATATATATATTTTTATCGTTTGATGTCTATATTTTTGATGTTGAGATAATCAATTTGAAGAAATTTGAGCATCAAAACAACCATTTATAGTGACTTTTTTGAGATGCGCTCTAATTTGATTGTTTATAGCCTCATCGTTTATTATTATTATCAATATTTTTATAAGGAAAATTGTTTGGCAAACAAATGTTGCAAATGTTTTTTTTATTGGAATTATTATTATATTTTTTAAATTTTATTTATTTATTTATATTCATGATCTCCATATTGATATTACATGTCGTTAAAAATGAAGCATCAAAATCTATATAAAAAATAGATTTATTAAGAGGTCCGCATGTCTACATATGCGGGTTTGGTAGCATAAAAACTGGGTTTTTTTTATAAATAATGTAGGTAAAAGTGATATAATGGTATTATTTAAAATTCCATTTTCCAAATATGGTGGTAGATTCATAACTCATAAAAAGGAGATTTTATTTATTCCTATGACATGCAAATAATATGCTACTTAGGTAAGTGCACAATATTGGTTGTGTGATTTTTTATTGCACATGGTACTCAAGCAGCATCTACTTTATGTCTCCATCCGGAACAATGACATCTGTTATTGTTTTTTATTGCAACAACACCGGTAGGGCTTCATCACCGTTGATCACTCACAATTGACGATGGATAGCTCTTCAATTCAGTACTACAAGATAGACATGAGCAGTCATTACATATAAGAAAAGTGGGAGGCTCTAAACAACCAAGTTAGGGTGCATCTCAAAACAATTATCAAAAAGAGGTTGTTTGGTGCTCAAATACCCTTTAATTGATCATGTCCACCTCTAGATACCTAGATTTTAAGTTTTGGAAATAGTAGGTCTTGTAATGCATTTTTTGACTATTAATTTTCAAGATTTTCAAATTTTCATAGATGTGCTCGGCCTATATTGATTTTCAAGCTTTAAATTTTATAATTAAAAATAAAAATATATTAAAGCTTTCACAAAAATTTCCAATATTGAAATCACTTATCTCGATACAATTTGAAAGTGCTTTGCTTTTAATTATTTATGGTCTAGGCTTTACCTCACATGTACTTAATGCTAGTTTGAAGTCTTATACACAATTATTCTCTTGCTAAGTCTAATCTCTATGTAATTACGTGTTATAGGACAGGACCAAAGGGATTAATTTACTATTACATGTTTGACGAGGGTATATCTGGGAAAATATAAAATAGTGGCGAATTTTTAGTTATAGAGAGAGAAAGTGTCTTGGTCCCTGAATTTAACCGACCACTGAAAAAACGGTCGGGAAGGACGGGACCGCCGGATTCCGGCCGGCATCGCCTCTTCCCAAGACAAAAGCTAATTACTCTTACCCCGACCTAACCCTCACTTAACTCAACCATGGTTAGTTTCCCTGCCCTGCAGATCTGACCCCTGGTTAACTTCTGTGGGGTTAGCAGGAGGCTATGGTACGGTGTCCCCCACCACATAGAGAGAGAAACAAAGACAACAGAAAGTGGAGAGAGCGAGTGTATTTTAGAGAGAGAGTGGACAGAGTAGAGAGAGAGTGGACAGAGTAGAGAGAGAAGGGGTTTTAGAGGGAGGGAGGGAGGGAGAGGTTTTTTAGTAGAGAGAGAGAGAGGGGTGGAGTTATTTGCAGCAGGTGTGTTCCTAAAGGTGGGGGCTAAATTTAGGAACGCCGCTAAACATAGGGGAAGAGATGGGGGTAGTCGATGATGGAGGTGGGGGCATGGCTATGACAAATGGATTGTAGGGCACCGAGGTTCTTATCCATGGGTTATTGAACTTTCCCATAATAGCACAGCCCTCTTTATCTATCTCCATCTCTGTTTCTGTCTCTACCTCTATTTCTACCTCTGGTTCTAAGGGTTTTGGTGTAGGGTTTTGCTCTGAGATCACTGCAATTTTCTCTCTCTAGGTATCTTTTTGTGGTCTGGCGTTCGGGAGATGGGTTCATGTGGCGAGGGCTTGAAGGGATTGTGCCCTAGAGTTAATGGTAGCAGTGGTGGTGATGGTCTTTCAAATGTTAGCAGTGAACCTAGTGGGGGTTTTCGAGGTAACTTTCGTTTCAGGATAATCATTTCATGTATTTCCCTTGTATTTCACCTGATTTATTTGCTTGCTCGTTTGCTCTTCTGTCCTTTTTTTTTTTTGGTAATTTTCACTGTTTGTTTGGTGATCTGTACTATTAATTAGTTTGCGGTATGCTGAATACGTTAGTGTTCTCTGGTTTTTTCATGGCGTCTTGGCCATGTGAATGGTGTTTGAGGGTTTATGGCTGCTTTGATGTTTGCTTTCATGGAGTTGCTTTAGTTGGGCCATTTACGGTCATTTCTTTTATTGGCATTTTTGAGTTAGAGTACCCGTAACAAGGGTTTTTCTGATTCGATTGCATTTTGCGCCTTAAAGAGGATTAGTGCCTTGTTTTTTTTTTCTGTGGGTTATGTTGCTTCCATGTGAGCTATAATGTTTTTTCTGGTTTCGTTTTTTTTCTCTTTTTTTTTTTTGCAGGGCATATTTTTTTTTTTTGTGTTATTTTTGTTTTGTTTAAGAAGGTTGCAGTACCCATAAGTAAAGGCTAGTTTGTTCCTAGAGAAAAAATTGGCCTTGCATGATCCTTTTTAGGGCTTTATGTGGGGCTTATTTGTGGGTTTTGTGCTCCTCTTTGTGTCAGGATGCCCTCGTGCCTAGCCTTGCATCACTCTGTTCAACGTTATTTTGGGTTTTGCACTGATCATCCTGCTTAACTGTTTTGTATTCTGTCATAATGTAATTTGAAGTTGAACTTCTGTTTCTGAAGGAAATGGTAAAATTCGATTAGGTTTAGGATACATGCATGTCGATTATTTGGGTTTTCTATGGTTTTGCTTGAGTAAGCCCTATTGTAGGGATTTGCCTGTGTCTTGAAATTGGTTGTTTGAAGAAATGGGAAAAGTACACCATATGTCTGTGTTATATGTTATATGATACGCCATGGTGATATCCGTGGTCTGTTCCCTTAATGGATGCTGGAGACTAATTGTGGTTCCTGATTCTGGTGTGGACATTCACCTATATTGTACCATATACCACACATAGCTGATGTATGGTACATTTTCCTTCAAGGAAGAATGGAAGAGATACACCATTAATACAGGGGACTATTCAGTTTCTTTTGGGGTGGTTTATTGCTTGAAATATATCACGATGTAGGGATCTTGTCATTCTCCTGTTGCTTAGTTTCGAGGTTTGATGTTCTGTTAGGGTATTTGTTGGTTTTCACAAGAGGTAAATCTTCACATGAACATAGATCCCTTATTGAAGGGGCATTGGTTAATTTGTATTACTGTTTACTATTTTTGCAAAGATCATTTGACGATCCTGTTTTTTTTCTCTGATTTAGTTTTATTAGATAAGGTCCAATTTACTTTGAGATATTTGAAAAATTTCATTACATATTTATGAGTGGACATGTGTTGTTTCCTTGAACTCTAGTTATAAGTAGTACCCTGAATGCTAAGATTAGTCTTTGCCATATCAACGTGCATCCAAAATTCAATCAAGGTACTTTTGTTCAATGACTCTGGCCCATTATCTGTGTGAGGTGCTTATTTTGTAAAATCCTGCAATTGTTGCAGATGTTACCCCATATTGTTACCCAATTTGGGGAAGACTCTCTTCCTGAGTACAGTATTTGTTATACCTTTCTGTTTTGGAAGTGATTATTTTTTCTCTTGTTTCAGATGCAAATGATGGTCTCTATACGGAGCTCTGGCATGCTTGTGCTGGTCCACTTGTTACTGTTCCTCAAATGGGGGATAAGGTCTTTTACTTCCCTCAAGGTCATACTGAACAGGTAATCAGTCCTCTTTCCCTGCTATTTTCATGACTGATATCGCAACTTCCCTTAATTTTTTTTTTCACACTGCATATGTGTAGTGGCTGATTGCAAGTGTGGTTTAATTTGGATTCAAACCCTTCAGAATGAATGCATCTTTTTGCCATGCGCACTCCTGTATCTCATTTGATTGGAACGCTCTGCATCCTGAACTGGTTGAATCCAAAACTGATATATATAAATGTTAATGTTCATGTGGTTTACTTTGGAATCTTTTTGGTCGCATTATGGGCAGGTTGAGAAATCCACAAATCAGGGTGCTGATCAGCCTATGCCTAACTACGATCTGCCATCCAAGATCCTTTGCAGGGTGGTGAATGTCTGGCTAAAGGTATTTTGGCACAAGCATCATTGTGGGGTTGCTCCCTCTTTAGGTTCATGATGATTTCTCCTTCACTCTCTCTGTTTTGCTAAAATTGAGAATTTTTCTCCCTCTCTCTCATCTTCAAGATTAATTTGATTGCTTACCAATCTTTAACAAGTATATAGTTGTTGGGATCTTGTTGACAATTGCAATCACCTGGCTTAGGCTTATGAATGATTATTTCGGTCAAATTGTTGCAGTGTCTTCTGATAAATCAAGATGACTCACTGCATTTTCTTCTCCCCTCAAAAAAGGAGGAAATATTGCTTGCAATATATTTTGTTCATTTTCCTTTCTTTCCTTAGTCTCCATTCCCAATGACTTGGACCCTTTGTCATGCCTATTTGTTTATGTTTGCTTTGTGAGTTTTCTTGTGTTCGTAGTTTGCTCATTGGTTGTTCTTTTTGCTGGATTGTCTGGCAGGCTGAAACTGATACTGATGAGGTTTATGCTCAACTCACCTTGATTCCTGAGCCAAATGTAAGAGCACCATCTAAATTTACTTAAAAAAAAAAAACATTACACTCTTTCCTGTTATTACTATTATTTTTTTAACATGTCCTTCATTTAGCAGACTGAAATTTATAGATCCCAGTGTATTTTTCATTTCAAAGGGGGTTTATTTGAATTGTCAATTTCTGTTTTTTATTTCTGGTATCAGCAAGATGAGACTACTCTGGAGAAGGAGACAGTGCAATCACCCCCTCGACGGCCACATGTTTATTCCTTCTGTAAAACCCTGACTGCTTCTGACACCAGCACACATGGTGGATTTTCTGTTTTGAGGCGACATGCCGAGGAATGTCTCCCTCGCCTGGTATGCCCTTTTTGAATTTCTGGACATGTTCTCAAGGTTTTACTTTCTCTGATTCAAGCAGTCTTTTTGAGACAATTCCAGAATTTCAATTTCTTTGAATTAAAGTTAGTTTTAGGTTTTCTTTCTAAGCAGTTTAATGCAGCAGTGCTTCTCAAAACAGCAAGAAGAGAATCATTTCATGGAATTTCTAGATGCCTGAATTTTTTCTTTATTTGCCAATGGTGTTTGATACTCCTCTATCCTATCATTTAGAAACTCATGGGATGTCTCTCCTATTTTTTCTGGGAATCCTATGTACGTTTTAATCTTTTCCATTTCGTAGCTTTATGATGGAAGTGTTTGAAGTTAGTTATCTGCCTGACTAGTCGCATGCTGTTATTTCAGGACATGTCTCAGCAACCTCCTACCCAGGATTTAGTGGCAAAAGATTTGCATGGGGTTGAGTGGCGCTTCCGCCACATATTTCGTGGTAAGTTATTTTCTTCCTTTTTCTTTACCACTTTTTATTTTTTATTTTTTTTAATGTTTACCATGTGACATCTCAAGAGCCGCTTGCATTGGATTTCCGGGGTTCTCTAATTGTTTTATCTTTTCAAGTTTTGCTTGTTAGTGTTGAGTGTGGACCTGTTAATGTTGTTAGTTTTGTACTTTGCTGACTGTACTATGACCTTCCCAAAGTTTGATTTGTCTTTATGATCAAGTTGTGTTGGAGGAAAAGTGGTATTTCTTTAATAGTTTTTGTGTTGATTTTGATTGTTCATTCTTGGCATTTATATTAGCTCGATTTTTACTCGGTCTTCCCATTTAAAGATTTCCTTTATTCTTTCTTCCAGGTCAGCCCAGAAGGCACTTGCTAACGACCGGATGGAGTGGATTTGTGAGCTCAAAGAGGCTTGTTGCTGGAGATGCTTTTATCTTTCTCAGGTTAGGAAAAATCTTGTGTTTTTATGAATGGGATGTATATTGTACTCCAATGAGTTATGATACTGTAGTCTGTTGGTACATCACTGTTCAACAAAATGATGGATGGTGATGGCAAGAGAGCGGAAGCCACCATTAAGGTCATACCCTCTGGCGTTCCCCTCTCACCCTTCATCTGTCACCAGCCATCACTTCGATGGATGGTGCAACTTGATGGACTTTGGTTTCTATTCTAGATTGAATTGTATTGATACATATTTGTATACAAGTATCTTTTCTTTAATTGTGCTTTTTATCTGTTACTCGTTTATAAAATTACTTACATGCACCTTTAACAATATTTGTGTGTAGAGCTATATCTTTACTGGCATATTTGTCTCGTCTGACAAAAAAATTGGTTGTTTTTGTAGGGGAGAAAATGGAGAGCTTCGAGTTGGGGTGAGGCGAGCTCTGAGGCAGCAGAACAACATGCCCACTTCAGTGATATCAAGCCACAGCATGCACCTTGGTGTGCTAGCCACAGCCATGCATGCCTTTTCTACTGGAACTATGTTCAGCGTCTATTACAGGCCAAGGTAAACAATTATATGTTTTTTTCTTATTCTTCTTTTATTTTGCAAGTGTGGGTGTAAATAAGATCTATTTTGTGAAATTTGAAGCATTATGTTGTAATTATAGGATTTGAGTGTTCTATTTTTTTTGGTATATAAGCTCTGTATTTTTTCTAAAGTGTTATATAGAATATAGGTTTTTGCTATATCCTTTGAGTGTTTTGTTTTTTATGTAAATAAGCTCCATTTTTCTGAAATTGGAAAACAATTTGTTTTACTAATGAAAGTTGCCGCCCTTAGTTTTAGTTGTTTCCGGTCAATGGCCAATATATTTGTGTAAGTAATGTCGGATGGTGTTTTCGTTGAATAGAGAATTGAGTTTAGGAAGAGGAATTTAGTGGCATGAGACGTGATAGATTGAAGTGGATATAAGAGAGGAAAGCTTGGAGTAAGGATGAGTGATTTCAAGGATGTGAAGAGAGAAAATAGGTATTTGGTAGATGTTGAAAGAGAATTTGTTGGAAGAGTGTGTTAGAAGGGATGGTCATCTAGTGAGAATAATTAAAACCATGTCAAAACTCATTTGAGCATATTAGGTATTTGGATTTAGGCCAGCAATACTTGTATTTTAGTTTGTAAATATTAATAATAAGTTGTTGCATCCCAGCTGCATTTCTGGGTGGTATATGTTTGTATTGGTGTTTCCTATTTTATTTGCTGGTTCTATCTCTGCATAATCTGCGGCTGAGATTGTTGGTCTTGTTATTCTTCTATTGCAGAACAAGCCCTTCTGAGTTTGTCATACCTTATGATCAGTATATGGAGTCTGTCAAAAATAACTATTCAATTGGAATGAGGTTCAGGATGAGATTTGAGGGCGAGGAAACCCCAGAGCAAAGGTAAAGGCTGCATTTATTAGTTTGTTTTTTTAATATGAAAAGACTTTTTTTTTTTAATGTGAAAGATTAATGTTCTAATTACTCATGAAGCAATTATTATTTTCTTATTTCATGTTCTTTTCAGATTCACGGGAACGATTGTGGGGGTTGAAGACTACGATTCTAATAGATGGCCTGCTTCAAAATGGAGATGTCTAAAAGTATACAAATGCATCTTAAATATTTAATGCATACGTATGGCTCACAAGTTATGAAATTGATAAATGTGAATGTACGTGTGGGTGATGCATACCTTCCGCGTGCAAGTATGCATGCGCTATTGATTGGCTTACTTTGTTGAGGCATTCATAGTAAATAATAAATCCCACTATCTAGACTTTCGATATAAATAAATTAAGGGAGTGTATACAAGGAGACGATTTACCTTTGATATATGGAGGTCACAATTATTACAACCATCCGATGTGAAATTTGATAGCTTAGGTGTGTTTCAAAGTTCGAGAATTTTTTTTTTTTGAAGTTCTAGCTTGGTCAGTGGAATAAATGCAGCCATCTAAACTCGCATCCAATGGTCAAGATTAATTGGGATCACCTTGCACCAAAGATAAATGGTCTCATTGCATACTTACCCAAAATTTAATCCTTTGATGAATGTTTAGAACGTGGTAGATTTACTTGATGTCTATAACTTGTTCCTGTCTGAAGTTCGGAAAAGGAGAAAAATAAAAAGAACAGCTCATTAATAATGCTGAATTACCTAGAAGAGTCCTTATGGATGAACTCTGCACCATACCCTAAAATAGGAGTGCTAGTTCTTTTATAAATGCTCTTTTTCTTGATGCTTGAAATATGATCGCTGATTTCACTATGCTCACTCTCTCTCTCTCTCTCTTATTCTTTGTGTGTGTGTGTGTGTGACCATGCATGTGCACTTTAATAGTTTCTCTTTAATGAGAACTAGGTGTTTTGGTCATTTGATGCAGGTGCAATGGGATGAGCAATCATCTGTTGAACGGCCACTTAGAGTGTCTCCATGGAAAATTGAGCCATCTGCTGCTCCAACTGCTATTAATCCCCCACCCATTCCCAGAGCCAAGCGCCCCCGTACTAATGTCCCTTCACCCTCAGATGTTTCACATCTCAGCAGAGAAGGTATATTTTTCTCCTCAAAGTGCTACTACACATGCCACTCTGTCGGTTTCAAAAAAAAAAAAGAAGAAATATCACAATCTTACTCAATTTAATTCTCATATCTTCCTTTTGCTTCCTGTATTAATATATTGACCTGAAAATTCTCAAGTTATGACATGAAAAGAAATCTTATCACTTGGGTTCTGTATACTTATTTTAAGATGCTTCTACAAGTGTGATGAGAATAAAAATCCCATTACCATGTATCTTGTTCTTTTCTTGGTTTTATTTTCAACCCTTTTCTGTCATGAATCTAACATCTAGGACACCATCTTCAATTGACTATGTTTTTGGTGTTAATTTCCAGGCCTGCCCAGGGGTATGACTGAACATTCCCAGCTGCCAAGGTATCCAGGGGTCTTGCAAGGTCAAGAAGGCATGGCCTTGGTGGGAGGACCTTTCTCCTCTGGCACTAACAACCCTCAAAGTCATCAAAAGTCATCGATGTGGGCTCCACCTCTCCTCCCACCCAAGGAGGACCCCTACCCTCATCCCCCTCATCCAAACTGGATGTCACTTTTACGAAGTGAATCACCATTTACAGACAAAAATCCACCAAGCCACTGGGCGCTATCTCCATTTCCCGGTGAGAAGGCATGGCCCCCATTGGGCCCAACCCTCTTGGTGGGGCGAGAGGATCAAAAGCCATTGGGAGGGGGCCTCCAATCTGGGGGTTGCAAGTTGTTTGGGATCAACTTGTTTGAGCATCAGACAGAAGTGGCTTCTCCCGGGATTGCTGGGTTTCCAAGCAGGGGGCAGCAGCAGGTGGTGTTGAGGACCCCACCTCCAGTTGGGTTGGAGGGAGATCAGGTGTCAGAACAATCAAAGGGTGGGGGAAAGTCTGTGGACACTGGGAGTGACACTGATAGGCCCTTACCTCCTAAGGCTCAGAGTGCCTCCACTAGAAGCTGCACAAAGGTAAATGACTCTCTATACACACACACAAACACATACATATTCTCTCTCTCTCTCTGTATGTGTGTATGTGCACATGCGAAAGAAGATTACTGGCTTGTGGGACACTTCACTCTGTCCGATAAAACCCTTTGAGACCCCCAATTTTAGGGATCTAATTTCTTTGAGCTAGCAGCAATCTCAAAAAAAAAAAATCCTGAATTTAATAATGTATTTGCATGGAAAAATATCTACTCAAAAGGTTGAACAGAGATTGTCGAACTTTTGTAGAGTGAAATTGGAGTGTTCAAGACCTTAAATCCTTTTTTTCATTAAAGTAATTTCTGTTTCTTTTGGTGATCTCAAAATTTCTGATTGAAAATTTTTCCACGCTGCTC